ATTTTGTTAAAACATTACTTTGTTCAAAATATCTTTTTAAAAAAATCTTTATTTTATGTTTCTAATAGAAGAATAAAAAAAGAAATAAGGTTTAAAAAATTCTGATAAAAATATTTAGAAAACATGGATTCAGTTGTGAAAGTATTATATCCTTCAACATTAACAAGAAAAATTATATACTTTTTACCACTGAAATCATGGAAAAATTATTTGAAATTAAGTGAAAATCAGGGAATAATCAGGGAAAACTCAGGGAAAATGGATTTATAAAACTGCCATTAACCCTGAAGGTGGAAATTAACTAAGCATAAAAGAACACAGTGTTTTAAGTTTTAATTTAAGCAAGTTACTTAAATAAGTCATCAACAAACAGCCTTGCCTGTAATTTGTGAGACTAGTTATTGTTTGTGTTGCAAATGTACTTAAGGTAGAGGAAGAAATATTAGTTATTTTGTGACCATAGCCCTCAAAAAAATATTAGATTTAGATATAAAATATTAGATTTAGATATAAAATATTAGATTTAGATATAAAATATTAGATTTAGATATAAAATATTAGATTATTTTGTGACCAAGACCTCAAAACCAAACCATAGCCCTCAGACTCTAGCAACTCTTAAGAGTTTTTCAAAGTTGGACAAAAAAAAGTATTTTAGTTAGAAAATTCTAACCTTCTTTAATTTATCTATCATCAAAACCATGTTTGTAGCATTTTTTTAAAAGATTTTACTATTAATGTTAATCAGATAGCTGTCACTCAGTTCTTCTGTACATGTTAAAATGGTTATAGACAAAAATTTTCAACATAGGATTGTTGCTTATCCTGATTAAGGTTATAAAAACTTCAACTTTAAATTTGTTTTCAACATCTCGAAACATCTGTTTATTTTATTTATCATTGAAAAAACTCTGTACAAGATAATTAACAAAATAAATTTAAATAATGTAACCATGCAATCAGACTTTCATAATTACATTCTTTAAATTTATTAGAGAACAGCTTCTGCATGATTAATAGCATGCTTTATATATAACAAGAACAAGTGAATTTAAAATTTCTGAATAATTTTTAGATATAGCATCGAATAAATCCATATAACAGTTGGTTATTTAATGTAGAAAACTTTCTTTAAGTATTTTTCATTAATATAAGTTTCAATAAAAAGAATAAATTACTTATAAATGTTTCCAAAAAATATTTATATTTCTGGTCTAGTTTTTTTCACATGTCCACATAAATTTAAAGAGTACTTTATAACTTTAACAAAGTTTTGAGGGTAGTTTTTAGTTACTTCCACTTGTTATTGTATTATCCAAATGTACTAACTATATTTTTATTATACTTGATCCATTCAAATAGTAAAGTTACATTCACCCAAAGTTTATTTTGTTTTATAATATTAGCATCCAGTTTGTTTTTTTTAATGTTTATGATATTACAGTCAACCATTCTCAGAAAATCTCTGACAATGTCTTTTTTTTTTAATCATTTTTTATTTTTACAAATTACTTCCATAATATCTTTTTAAATGGTTTTTTTTTGTTGCTTTTGAAGTTAACAATCTTGGCATGAAGTTGCCTCTTGTTTTTAAATAAAACGGTAAAAAAATTTGAAAATATGAGGTAAAGAAAGATGATTATGTTTAATGCGAGGCAATTTTGACAGTAGGTTGACCATGTTTGCTATCTGAGCATTTAACCAGAAACCAAATTCATTACTTATTTGAAGACATCAATATGTTGATAGCATTATCCACATCTGTACTTATATTTTGTCAACAATAATTTTTAACTTCCTATACTTTTTTACTAAGGTTCATTTTTATAATACTTACATATTACATTAATTTTATTTTAAAAATAAAATTTTTTTATTGCCGCCCACTTGAGGCCACCCTGTTTTCTATGCACTTTTGGCCTGTGCTTGAGTAGGATATAAGTCATTTTCTAGTAAAATCAATATGTATTTATCTGTTCTAGGTGATTTTGAAAACATTTTTAGTGACTTATATCCTTAATCACTTGATTTGCTAAATACCTTATAAAATTGTTTATTTGCACAGTTAACCACAGTGTTGATTAATGAGCAAATTTTACTTGAGTATATTTTTTGGTTTACAAATTTGTATTGTTGTTTTGAGTTTATATTAAATAGTAAAGAATAATTTTTAGTTTCTGTATAATAGGAATAATTTTAACATATACAAACAATTGGTTTTAAAATACACCAGCAATTGGTTTTAATATACACAAGCAATTGGTTTTAAAATACACAAACAATTAGTTTTCAAATACTCAAACAATTGGTTTTAAAATATACAAATAATTTAAAATACACTAATAGTGTATTTTAAATACACAAATTAGTGATAACTGTCTTGAAGTTTTTATACTTAAATTTTTGAATATCTTCAAAAACATATACTTCAAACTATCAAACAAAAAACACAAAATACTGAAACGCTGGTAAATGTGCTGTGCTCCATATGCGCAGCATGTATGTTGATTAATAAAAACACAGTTATTGTTTTTTTTATTTGTGAAAAAAATATTTCAGCTTTCAAAACTCTATTTTAAATTCATTTTTATAACAGTTTTTTATTATTAGACAGTTTAACAGCAATTAAGTTATATAGTCTCAGTATTATCTTGTACTATCTACAAATGCATTAAATAAAATGTTCTATCTAATATATAAGATAAATACCAAAAAAAGTTATATATAAAGAAATAGAATATTCTATGTAATATAATATATTTTATCAGGTAGAAAATTGTATATATATATATATATATATATATATATATATATATATATATATATATATACATATATATATATATATATATATATATATATATATATATATATATATATATATATATATATATATATTTATTTTATATATTAGATAAAACATTTTATTGCATTTGTAGATAGAACAACATAATACTGAGGAGACAATATAACATCAATGTATATAAGTTAAACATTAGTTTTTTACTAATAGTAATTACAAAGACTATTGTAGTGTGCAAAAAAAAAAAAAATTGCAACATGCAAAACAATTAAAATTACAGGCAGACTTTATACATAACAAACTTTTTTAAATGTAATTTTTTTTTAAAGAAAATGTTGTTAAAAAGTTATTTTTCTCGAAAAATCCCTCTTACATTTTTGTCTGAAAATGTTCTTTTTTTAAAAAATAGTTTTATAAAAAATTTTAATTAAAATTTTTTATTATTTTATGATTTTAATTAAAAGCAATTTTTTTTAAACTATAAAATTTTATATATATAAAGTAAATATAGATCAAGTTAATATAGATCAAGTTTTAGTCACAAAATACATTAGTTCAAACCGAAAGATACAGTTAAATTCCAATCTCATAGCCGGTAACTACTTCAAAAGTCCTCATACAGCCAAAAGAATATGTGAACCATATGTAATGAGAACAACATTAAAGTGAATTATACGTCTGTAGTAAAAATGCTACCAGCATGTGTAAAGCTTTCACAGTATGTTTCCCTATTGAAGAAGAAGATGATCCACAATGTATTTGAAAATTATTAAATTTATATAGTATGTTTAATAATTTAGTATAATATATTTATTAAATTAACTTAACACACATTTTAACTATGAAATAGGATTAAATTTAATCAAAGAGAAAATTTAATTCTATTTCATAGTTAAAATGATACATTTTAACTATGAAATAGAATTAAATTTTCAGAAATTCTGCAATTCGTTGTGCAATGAAAGAAGACAATGGACTATGATAATCGAATGTGACAGCATCAAATCTTTACAGAGATTTCTGGCTCGGCTGCTGTTTGCCATGTCTTTCTTTGTGTTATTCTCTACACAGAAATCAAAGAAAGCCAATCCCACTAAATGTTCAGAAAAATATCAGAAGTGGTGATAAAAAACTTTTCAAACTTTGTTCCAGCAGTTTTATATGTACGATTTGGATATTCTTAAATTGGTTGAAAAAGCTTGACATCATTAAATGGTGCTCGTTCATCTAAAGAGCTTCATTCTGAAACTGTCCATGTATAAATGCCACCTAAAGATTTATGTCTGTTATTACTTTTTTTTTCCTTGCAGTGATAACAAATTGATCCTGAAACAAATATATTTTTAGACAATATATAGCTTTGATCATCCAATGTGCATTCTGTGTTGCACCTGGAGCCCGAAACTTTACTTTAAACTTCAATGTTGTAGTTGATCATCCAAAAAAAATAAGGCACTTATTCAATAGTTTTAAGTAATCATCCCTGGGTTGTTGACCTTTAATTGCTTCACAATAGTATACTAACATTTCTTCAAAAAGTTTGATAAGAAAATCTACAGTTGAAAAGTTCTTCATTCCCTGTAGAGAACAGCTCTTTGTTTGCTGCTAGACATTGTTTTTGAAAACGGTTAAAAGGTCCTACACTGGTTCCAAATACAGTTGTGAAAATGGCGGAAAAACATGATTTCAAACACTGTTGGTGTTGCTGATAAAAGAACACAGGCAACCTTGAGGAGAATGCTTTTTGTGGCATTTTTTTCTGTTACAACGTTAATCACCCATAAATAGATAGATATTTGATATTATCGTACGCACATGGTAATATAACATTTATGTCGATCTTTTAGGTTAAAGCGCATCTATAAAGTATGTACACATTAAAACCACTGATTTAGGACCCCCCCCCCCTTCCTTGTACGCATCTATGTACATCCTCCTCCCCCTCCCTTCACCCTCTCTTTTCCAACCTAAAATTTTTCAAAATATTAAAAACAAAAAATCCCTATCTTTAACACCCCTTCCTTGTACGCAAATTTACATTTGGGTAAACCCCTTCTCTTACCAGCGTGCGTACTTTTGGAAGACCCCTTACAAATTGTCTAATTTTTCATTCTAAGAGTTTATAAAAGGCGGTTTTTATATATATATTTAAATTTTATTTTTGTGTTTGTTTATTTAAAAAAAAAATTTTTTTAAGCTGTCAAATACAATTCAAGATGGGTCAACGAACCAGACTCCGAAATATTATGAGAAGGTTGTTGAGAGCTGGAATCACCCTCACGTCAAAATTATTTTGGTCTGCAGAGTATGCAACAAGGAACAAAAGTCTACAAATCCTCTTACTTGGAAACTCCATTTTTTAACTCATTCAGAATCTAAGCCGTATAATTGCAATGTATGCGGCAGAGGTTTTGTTCAGTCTACGGCCTTTAAATTGCATATGAAAACTCATTTAAACTGAGTCAGCTTTTTATTCTCTAAAAATACTTCTAAAATTATTTTCACTAAAGCTGTTTAAAGAAAAAAAACTTGACGAGTTGCTGTTGTGTTGTGTTTTTTTTTTTTCTTTTTCTCGTTATTCTCGTTTACTTTTAATGTAAAAATAATTTCATCATAAATTAATTTAAAGACCAACAAAAGAGAATGCTTTAAACGTGGAAGATCTTATTTTTCAGTTTTGTTTGTATTTTCTTAAAGACTATTTTTATTTTTTTACTCTACGTGTTTTTCTTATGTTTTTATTTTGTAATAAATTGAGACACGTTATGTTTTTTAAGAGTACTAGAGAGTACTTTGGCAATTATTTTTATTGCATTTTTAAAAAGCGTTTTAATCAGAACTTTTAAAGGTGTAAAGCTTTTTTTATTTTATACTCTGGTCGTTGAGGTAATTTAGGCTATATTTCCGTGCATTGACAAACGATATAACTGTTAATAATTTTCTTATTTATTGCATATATTTTAACAAAGTTATGTAAAAGACGATGCCAAATTTTGATTTTACCTGACACTGGTTATCTTAACGATACATTAAACTATTTAACGATGAAAAAAAATTCATTTATGGCTGTTGAAAACTAAAACAATGTTTACTTAAAAATGTATATATAGATTTTGGCATATTGTGTTGTTTATATGAGATATATACATATTTTTATTTAGTAACTATGCTTTAAAATTATAAATATATATTTATGTTTAGAAGCTATTTTCTTATATTATTTACGAGATTTCTAAGTTTTTTAGTTTTAATAGTGTGTTTAATAGCAACCATAAATGTTTCCAAAATACTTCTTATCCATACCAACCATAGATGTTTCCAAAATACTGTAATTTTTAAATGAGGTACTTTTTTATCGTTTATATTCTAGTCAGTAAATGGATTGTGACCATAAAATTGAACCCAATCTGATTGCCTATGAAACTTATTGTAAATGAATCAAAATAATCTTCAAAAGATAAAAATATGTCGTATTCAGCGTAAATAGTCGCGAAAAAATTCTGTTGCCTTTGTGTTTTCCAGTTTAAGTTATTTAATTGAAGATTGTTAGTTCTCCATTTAGAAGAAACCATACCATAACAGTTTTTAATTGTTTTCCTTGTTCTATAAACGATAGTTTAAATCTTTTTAACCGCTTGCGGTTCTATTAACCGAGCGGAGTGGGGCAGTAGGTGGACAAAATAGTAAAATTATTTTTTTATATGTATTAAAAGCACTGATCTATATAATAACTGGATAGCGCATCTCCTAATAAAATTTCGAAATTTTTGAAGCCAAAAGACGCCATATTGGAAAGCCCCAGAATTTATAAATGCGTAGTTGCGTTAAACTTATACGCTTAAAACAGATTTCGCTTGATGAATAAAAAATGCAAAAACCTTATAAATGCATTGATTATTTAAAACCGAGTAAATCTGATGTTATATGTTCAGATTATTTCATGGAGAGTGACATATATATATATATATATATATATATATATATATATATATATATATATATATATATATATATATATATATATATATATATATATATATATATATATATATATATATGTTGTTTATACAACTAATGTTGTTTATACAACTAATATTTATCAGTATAAAACTGTATATATATAATATATATATATATATATATATTATATATACAGGGTGGCCAGCCACTTTCAACAATTAAATTCCCTGACTTTTTATATTTTTCCCTGACTCAGTTATATTTTAAAGTGTGAATTTTTAAGTTTTGTTGTTTGGGAGTAAGTAAAAAAAACCCTTTAAAAAAACTAAATTTTCAAAAAGGACATTTTTCCCTGACTAGAAAAAAATTCCCTGACTTTTCCATGGTTTCCAGTTGGCTGGCCACCCTGGTATAATATTATTATAATAGCATGCAAGTGTATATTAGTATGCACCTTTTGATTCTTAATTGCCCTCTGCAAAATGCCCGAGGCTTGTACCATATTTGCAAGGTAAACAGCTTACAAGTTTGCTGTATGAATCATTAGTTAGACAATGTGTCAATTGTAACACAACCTAAAGGTTTCTAAGACAACATATAGCAAATCTTTATATTTACTTTTAATAATTTTGTTCTTGCGTGTGTGTGTGTATATATATATATATGTATATATTATATATATATATATATATATATATATATATATATATATATATATATATATATATATATAAATTAACTTAACGCTTAACTGTCGAAAAATACTTTCAAGACATTTTTGTAAATGCCATTAGACATTTTTGTAAATGCCATTAGACATTTTCACAACACCAGAACATTTGTATAAGATATTGCAATTACAAAAGAATATGTTTAAGTAAAAAAATATAAATAAAATAATAGTTAGCTCTATCATCTTGAACAAAATAATCATTGAATAACTTGTATAAGCATTTAATAACAAAATAAACATTGAATAAAAAGGCATTATGTGGTAGGGAAAAGTAAAAAAGTATGTACACTTATAAAAAAAATTGTTCACCTTTCATTTTTGGTCTTATATGTTGCTTATTTGTTTTCACAAGAAATATTTTTAATATTTATTAATTATACAACTAATATTTATCAGTATAAAACTGATAGATGTTAGCTGAATCATTATTATTTTACTTTAGAGTCAATAGTTTTAAAAAAACTTGAAAGAAACCATGTCTGTTTTCATTTATACCATATTTACATATAAACAATCAACATGTATGTGATGCTGTTATTTAGTCTAAAACACTAAATACTTTAATGTAAAACTGCAAATAACTAGTTATCACCAAATATCTAGTGTTTTTTAAAATTAGAGATGGCTTTCTCAAACCTTCACAAAGTGTAATTAAAGTTAGCGAAGCAACAAAACAAAACATTGTTATTAAGTGATATCAATTTTAATAAAGTATTGCATAGTTGATGATATTTCAGTTGTGGAACAATATAAACATGCCCTCAGAGTTTCAAAAATTAGAAAAACATTTACAAAAATGTTTGATACAATGTTTTTATCATGTTTTATACTTGTAAAGTTACTTTCCAGCTACTTTTGCTAAGTAAGGTCGCATCAAGTTGTTAAAATAAACACCCAAAAGTAACCAGATCAAATATCAATTTGTCTTTCAGAAAAGTGTTATTTCGAATATCATGAATTCAATAAATTTAACAAGTTCATAGAAAGCAATACAAATATTATTATTTCTTTATAGCGATATTTCTCTTCGTCGTTAATGTTTTGCGTGTTTTTGATTCCCTTTTATAATTTTTACACCTTCAAACATTTTAAATATAATAATATCATTGAAATATGTGACTTGGTCGAGTAGATATAAACGAAGTAAAAAGGTACATCTTCAAGCGCAATCATTGTATTTTCGGTATTCTGGGGCTTTCCAATATGGCGGCCGTACAAAAAATTGGCTTCACTTTTGATAATAGAGATGCGCTATCCAGTTATTATAGAGATCAGTGATTAGGAGCAATTTATTAAAGTTTCACTTATATTAAATCCTTCAGTTGATGGAAGTCTGGGCATTTGAATATTAAAATTTAAAAAGGAAAATATTTTGATGAGTAATTTCAGTGAGATCAACGTGTAATATTCCGAATACATTTTTATTGTCACACCAATACATTTTTATTTTCGCACCATTGGCACATGTTATTTTAGAGTATTCAGAGATAATAAAAAGCATTTTGCTTCATAAATTTGTCATAGCATGTTGCCTCAGTAACAATTTGAAGATCACTAATTTTTATAAGAAAATTTATAAGAAAATACTTTTTTGCTGCGCTATTACTAGCGATTGTCACAATTTGCCGTGTGCTGTCAAATATTTATTTGAGTTATATGATGCCTATGTGCGATGTGATGAATCAAGATTCAATTGGTTGTTCTTGTCTAAAGTGCTCGCCTCATAAGCGAAAAGTTCCTAGTTCGATCCCCACCACGTTCCTCATAGTACTGCGTTCAACTTGTTTCTCCGCGCAGCTCTTTGTTCGTGTGGAGATAAATAATTAAAAAAAAATATATAATAATAATAAAAGTTCCTATTCTGATTTTATATATGTTTCAATACAGTGACTAGGGTACCTAATTTTCCATAGCAACAACCTCTTTTTTACATTCTCGTTATTTTAACAGTTTTTTTATTTACGCTATGTACACTGTATTGGACATGTGTGTTAACATAAGATTCGCACTTCTTATGACGGTAATATTTTTATTTGATTGCTATGAATACTTTACTTTGCATAGCATACCAAAAACATACTTATGGTAATTGTTTTCAATCTGTGCTCAAAGAAAATTATAACATTAAAAGTGAGATAGAGAGCTTGGGTATGACTTTATTAGACTTCAACGGATCTCCTATAAAAGTAAATAGTAATATTAAACTTATGATGATAGATGGGAAGGTTAAAACGATGTTATCTAACACAACCAACTCATCCCAATGTTAATCAGTATGTGGTGTGTCTCCGAAAAGTATGAATAGTCTTTATATCCTTAATACAGATTATACTCACAGAGAAAACTTTTTTGGCGGAATTAAAGATGGCGGACATGCTTTTGAAATAAAAAACAATAACAACCATTATATTAATGAAATATTATATATACGTCTTGTTATTAACGAAAAAACAACAGAGTTTGAAGAACTAGTTAATATAATTTTAAATTTTTCAAGAAAATGGTAAATGCTCAAGAGTTTAATGCCTACAAGGCTCAACAGGAACAAATTATTGGAGATCTGAAACTACAAATTGAAAAATTAATAACTGATAATATGAATTTAACAAAAAGAGTAGATGATTTAGAAATGAATAAATCAAGTACCAGTCATATAAATAACAATGTAACGTGGGCAAACATGGTAAAAAAGTCACTAGAACAAATGCTTATGATAAATTCCGTTACTAGTGAGACAAAAGAACGAGAAAGAAGAGAAAACAATGTAGTTATTTTCGGAATTAAACCATCGGAAAACGAAGAAAAGAGTAAAGAGAAAGAAGAAAATAGACGAGCTATAATTAATGTTTTTAAAAAATTGCAAGTAACCGTTAATGTTCAAAATTTTATGAAACTAAAACCAAGAAACACCAATTATCAAGCCCCATTTGTTGTCATACTGAAAGATAAAAGAGAAAGGAATTCTATCTTAAAAAAAGCCAAAGAATTACGAGATTCGAAAGAATATGAGAATGTCTATATAAATCCCGATTTTATATAGACATTAACGGAAAGTGAAAGGTTTAAATCAAAGTTTTTAAGAGAAGAATGCAGAAAAAAAAACAAAGAGATCATTGAAAACGAGTTCTACTATGGAATTCGAAATGAAAAAGTAACAAAAATCAAAAAATAGCTATATGATTTAAAGGACAAAAACTCAAATCATTTTTCATATTCACATGTAAATGTATTAGGAAATGCTGTGTTTAAATTTAAGGGTGGACCAACATCAATACCTAGCCTCGAAAAATCAAGAAACAACAACCCACACAAAAATCACATCAAACTTTGATACACCAATGCAACTTCACTTAATAATAAAATGCAACAACTTAAAGCGTACTTGTCCTGTGATAAACCAGATATTATATTAGTAAGTGAAACATGGTTCAATGATAAATCAGTTATCAATATTGATGGGTACAACTGCTACAACAAAAACAGACCGCTTGGTGAAAATGGTGGGGGAGT